CCACGTGGGGGGGGGGGGGTTCAATCCTCTTACATTAGAAGATCTTTCAAGTTTCTCAAATTCTGGGCAGGGTCAATCCTCTTACATTAGAAGACCTTTCAATTTTCTCAAATTCTAGGCTACAGATTTCTAGGAAGTAGTTAAACCTCATTGGTTAGCTACTGACTGCACAGATATTTTCATCAGCCTAAAACAGAAAATGAAGAAGCCTAAGACTGCACTATCTAATTGGAGTAGAGAAAAGGAGAAAATGATCAAAATGGTCCTTAATGTATAGGCTTTGCTTCCATTTGATCCCTAATATATGAGCTTGATGGAAATAGTCCTTAATGTATCATAAAATGTGATCAGTTTGGTCCTTAACCCTAAAATTAACATATTTCTTTTATTTTTGCCATCAAAATACACGGAATATGTAAGAAAAACTTGAATGCCATTGGAAACAGGGGAAGGAAAAAAGTCTTGAACGAGGGCATCCTTTACATATTCTGTGTATTTTGACGGCAAAAAAAAAAGAAATATGTTAATTTTAGGGTCAAGGACCAAACTGATCACATTTTATGATACATAAAGGACCATTTCCATCAAGTTCATATATTAAGGACCAAGTGGAATCAAAACCTATACATTAAGGACCATTTTGATCATTTTCTCTAGAGAAAAGTATGGGGAATTTTTCAAACAGATGCTTATTAGAGAAGATATTGCCAGACCGGAGGAAAACTTATTTGAAGAAACCTCTTTGTTGAAAATAGAAGGGTCTTGCAGAAGGCTCATGCTGAATTGAAAAAATATATCCACTATGAGGAAGAGTTTTGGAGGAAAAAAGCAGGCATTCAATGGTTTGTAGAAGGAGAAAAGAACACTATTTTTTTCCACAATTCAGTAAAGGGAAGAAGGTAAAGATTGGAAATAATTAGGATTCAAAATGCTGATGGTCTTTGGGTGGAAGGAGAAGAACAGGTGGCTACAGAAGCAGTATCTTTTTTTTAGGAGCGGCACTGAGGTTGTCCTTATTACAACATATACCCAGTTTGATCACTGATCAGATGAATAATGATATTAATGCTAGTCTAAGTATGGAGGAAGTAAGGAAGGTTGTTTTTACTGTGAATGGGGAAAGTGCAAGTGGTCCTGATGGATTCACTGGCCACTTCTATCAAAGTTGCTGGAGCATAGTTGGTGAAGCTGTTTATAAAGTGGTGAAAGCTTTCTTTGAGGGATACACCCTCCCCAAATCTATAACACATACCAACTTGGTTTTATTGCCAAAAGAAGAAGTGGTCCAATCCTTCTCAGATATGAGACCAATTAGCCTAAGCAATTTCCTGAATAAAGTTATCTCCAGAGTTTTATATGATAGAATTGAAAGAATGTTACCTACCCTAATTTCAAAGAACCAATCAGGTTTTGTGAAGGGAAGGAACATTATTGAAAATGTGTTACTGGCACATGAGATCATAATAGACATTAGAAAGAGAGGGAAACCATCGAATATGGTAATAAAGCTAGATATGGCAAAGGTATATGACAGAGTCAACTGGAGTTTCTTGGTAAAGGTACTGGAAAAATGGGCTTTGATGCTAGAGTTAGGGACATGGTATGAAGACTAGTTGCTAATAATTGGTACTCAATTCTTATAAATGGACAATCACATGGCTTTTTCCATTCAACTAGAGGAGTAAAGCAAAGAGATCCACTCTCTCTAGCATTGTTTGTCTTAATTGTTGGGGTACTGTCTAGAGCTTTAAACTCCCTATTTGACAATTCAGACTTTAAAGGTTTTGGGATGTCAAAGTGGAGTGACAACATTAATCATCTGTCATATGCTGATGATACAATCATATTTGTATGTGCTGACACTAAATCTGTGAAATTAGTTAAGAATGTGCTTAAAGAATATGAAGTTCAATTAGGGCAGAAGATTAACAAAGAAAAAAGTGCATTCGATGTCTATCATAAAACTACTCTGGCTCAGATTAATACTGTGGAGGTGGAAACTAGCTTCAAAAGGGAAAAATTTCCAATAATGTACTTAGGTTGTCCCATTGGACATGCAAAGAAGAGAAAGGTGCATTTTGAAAAATTATTGAAGAAAATCAACAGTAGGCTACAAACTTGGAAAGGGAAACTTATTTCCTATGGAGGCAAGGCTGTTTTAATCAATAATGTATTGAGTAGCATCCCCATTTATCTATTATTTGCGACTAATCCTAAAAAATGTGTGATTCTGGACATGCATAGAATTTTTGCAAGTTCTTTGTGGAATTTCAAAAAAATGGGGAGAAATAAACACTAGGTTGCCTGGAGTGACCTTTGTAAACCTAAGGAGGAAGGGGGCTTGGGATTTAGATCTTTATTTGATGTCTCCAAAATACTTTTTGCTAAGCTGTGGTGAATATTTAGAACACATAAGACATTATGGACAAACTTCATGTGGAACAAATATTGCAAAAGAGTGAGACCTCAATTGGTGGAATGGAAAGGGGGAACTCAGACCTGGATGAACATGTTGGAGGCTAGAGATATGTTTGATCAAGAAATCTGGTGGGAACCAAAGATGGGGCACTCCAGTGTATGGTTTGACAATTGGACTCAATTAGGGGCTCTGCACTATTTTTTGCCTATCACTAATGAGTATGACAATCAATGGGAGGACATCAGACAACTTTTCTCAAATGGGAGATGGAATGTAGAAAGGATACAACATATTCTTCCTGAAAAAGTGAGTAAACATGTCCTTACTTAAGTAAATTGTGAAGAAAATTCTGAGGTATGGGATAAGCCCTGGTGGATGTAGAATAAATCAGGAAAATTTACTATAGGATCTGCCTGGGATAGCATCAGACAAAAAGGAGATGTTCAACACTGTTTTCAACATATTTGGAGTAGAGGGGTTCCTTTTAAGGTATCCTTTTTCTTGGGGAGGCTTTGGAAGAAGAGGTTACCTATTGGGGAGGTTCTGATAAGAAATAGGATATGTGATGAAATGATTTGTTGTTGTTATGGAGAAGGAGTTCAAGAAACAATAGAGCATTTTTTCATGATTTGCCCTGATTCTAAAGCATTATGGCTTTTCTTTGCAGCAGGAACATTAGTAGATGGTCCATTTATCCACATGAAAGATAGTATTTATAAATGGTGGCTGGCAAATGGTGTACCAAAGGTCAAACCTATCTATAAGGTTGTTCCCATGTTTATTTTATGACACATATGGAAGAGAAGAAATACAATAAAACATGGAGGGAAATTATCAACAATTAGCATGAGGATGGAAATCTGCATAAGTCTGGTGTACATGGCTCAAAACTTATATCCTTGGTTACATAATCTCCCCTCATCATGGATTGACCTAGTGCAATTCCTAGAAGCATATACACCAAGGATTGAGTATTAAGATAGTTTACTGGGAAGACTCCTAGCAGGGGATATAAGTGTAACACTGATGGGGCTGCAAAAGGGAACCCTGATCCTAGCTCAGGTGCTTTTTGTGTTAGAAATGAAGCAGGAAACTTGACATATACTAAAGGGAGAAGGTTTGGGGTGAACTCCAACCTTGTGGCAGAAGTTTTAGCTTTCAGAATGAGGTTAAAGTATTGTATTAATCACCATTATCTTCCACTGACAATGGAGACAAACTCTTTAGCCATAAAGAACATATTAGATGGAGGGTGGGAAACTCCATGGTGCATTACAGTAGATATCACAAAGATAAAGAGTTTACTGGTAGAGTCAAACACAACTGTAGAACACACCTACAGGGAAGGCAACAATCTGGCAGACTTTTTTTGCTAACCACGTTTTCTATTTTGCAGGTACAGATCTCCTAACATATTCATCAATTCAAGAAATATCAAGAGAAGCTAGAAGTATATTACAGTTGGACAAGAATCAGACCCCAAACCTTAGAATAAAAAAATACCAGGATGGTAATTTCAACATTAGGGGGAGGGGAGCACAACAAGGAACAAACAACAATTAGCAATTGCAATAACTACAAATCCATTCTTGAAATTGCAAAAATTTCCAATGGGTACCCAAATCGAAAATCAATCATTGGGGCAATAGGGAAATTTTCACACGCAAGTCGAAATGAAGCGTGATTCACTTACTCGATTAGTTAATAAATGGATCTATGGATTCTTCTGGCTTAGACAGTGGTATTAGCTCCAAGCTGAGCTCAACCTGTCAAGAAAGAGAAAACATAGTGAAGATTACTACCTAATCACCTAAGGGGTTCTGGATAGAGAGGAGTTGGTCTCACCATGGTTGTGCAAGATAGGACTGGTAGTGCTAGGAGTTGAAGAAGTTTTTATTTGATTGATTTATGGCATTTGTGAGAGGTTTGAATGCCCTTGTAAAACAATCAAGACTCACTGGCACCTACGTTGTCAGCTCTAGTAGCCTGAAGGGAATCGACTCCTCGTCTTCCGTTGTCCTCCATGGTTGTTCTGCTAGATGAAGTTCTGAAGAATGGTGGCTGGACTTTCCCACTTTCTTTTAGTTTTGTTCTTCTTTCCTTTTTTTGTTTATTTTGTTGTTTTTGTTTGAGTTAGTATTGTAGTACTTTTGGGCCAATTTTGGGCTTTGATAATAAATGGTCAACTAGACCTCCTTTCAATTAAAAAAAGAAGATGATATACTAATTTGGGGTGTTTTTAAAAGAGAAATTAAAGAATAGAATATTTAGAAATTTTGTAGTTTGAAAATGTGATAGAACTCCTCAGCTTATAGTTAATAAAAGCTAATATGAACAAGTGAATTTACAATCCTCAGAAAAATTACAATCCTCAGAAAAATTACAATCCTTCAGAAATGTCATAACTCATTAGAAAAGTCATCATCTTTCTATATGAAAAAGTGTTATCTTTTATTATGATATAATATAAAATATAGAAGATATAGATATTGAAACTTTATGTTAATACGAGACACAAACATTGAAATCATGCAACTTAGAACAAGTGGCTTAGTTTGGTAAAATGGTAGGTGTAGCATAGTTTTGGGTATGAAAAGAAAATGACAAATAAGTAGCAAGAGCAAAGTTGTCCCTAGTACAACACGTGAATCATTACTTGTGCTACATTGTTAGTGGTTGAATTAGGTGTCATAAGAGATATGACACTACTTACAATAATTAATTAATGTTTGGATTGGTGTTAAACGTGACCTATACGAAAAATCCTCCTTATCTGCCAAGTTTAAAGTCTCACACCAATTCCTTCTTCCTTTAAAAGTCATCATCAATTCATTACTGGTAGCAGTCCCAAGCAAAAACAGAATGAGTTACGAGCATGTTCATGAAGATCCCTATCCTCCACCAGGCAAGTTCAATTAATTAACACACTGATTATACTTATACATACCCAATTAGTTTCAATTTTACTAAATTTTGTTTTGTTAAACTTGATTGTTAGGTTATGCTCCACCACCGCCAGGGCCACAAGGATACCCACCTCCAGGACAGCCAGAACCAGTTGGGTACTACGGTGAAGCACCACCACCACCACCACCAGGACCTCCCAGTTATCAGGGATACTTTAATGATCAATATCCGCCTCCTGATCACATCCACCATGACCAGCCTGCTGATCATGATAGCAGTGGTTGTTGTTCCTTTTTAAAGGGCTGGTACGTCTTTCATTCTCTCACTCTCTTCAGTCCTCCATGTGCAACTCAATTTTCAAGATTCTACAATTCATCAGTTGATTTTTTTTTTTATTTGTACAGCTCCCGGCAATTCCACATCTTTTTGTAATCATTTCCCCTAAAATAGATCCTTTTTGTTTTCTCCGTCAAGTTCCCAAAAATAGATTTTTTCGACAAGTGAGACCAAAGATAAAACAAATGATCTTCTTCCTTTCTCGGTCCTCCAGATCATTTGTTCACTGGGTGCTCTATGTTAATTTTATACAAATGTCTCTTAATTTCTATATATATATATATTCCGAGACGAGGTTAATGGGTGCTCAAGCGGACTCTATGTGGATCCGCCCTTGTCGAGAAGCTTACAATTACTTCCCTCTTAACATGTTAAATCAACTGTTGTGATATAATGTGCTATTGAAAATTCTTCTATAGTTCACCAGCAATAATCCAGTAGGTAGCATGAGACAGTAATCTGCTGTGACATTACTTGCATTGACTCTGAATTTAGAGAAGAAAGTTGTGATAGGCTGTGCACTTATGTTTTTGGATGAAATGTGGGATCTTGAGAAAATTTGAGGCCGAATAACAATCCTACATTAACATATGTACAATGCATTAACTTCATTACCAACCATTGTCAAGATGGTTCACCCTTTTGCCTGTAAAAGAGAGAGAAAAGAACGTATTGAAAATCTTGGCCAAGATGAATGCAATTTTCTTTGAACTGGTAAAAAATGACAATTTTTCTTTTGGTAACTATGCAAAAGAGTTTTAATACAATATCAGAAAGCAGTAAGATGTCTTGAGGAACTTTGATGTGGTGATCATCAAATTTGAAATAAAGGGATGGTACTTTGGAAGAACTAATCATACATCCTATGCGGGAAAACATTCTACTTCATAGTGATGAGTGTTGGATTTTGGTTCATAACAGGGTTTCTGCTTGGTCAACTCTTGATTGTTTGTATCCCATGCCCATGGGCTACTTTACTGAAACAGTGATGGGAGCTTACAACTGCTTTGATTGATTAATTTGCTTATGATGAATTGTCATATTTGGATATAATATGTGGGTTAGGAGTAGCATGGACAATCGTGACTGCAATTAGTATGTGGACTTGAAGGAAATCAATCAAACTTGTGGACCTAAAATGAGGCTCTTAAATACAGAAATAGGTTTCATCAATTACCTGTGGTGTTCTGTTAATTAACTCATCCTTTAGTTCCTGATTTATCGAGTGATAATGTGGTGTAAAAGGTATAAAAAGATTTAAGATCTTCTATCCAACTCTTACAGAGTTTTAACATGTTACAATACTCTGAATTCTTTATTATGCCACTGCATCAAAAATGATCTTTAGTGGCAATTAATTAACGGCAATAGCTTAATTGCTGCTAAAGATGTATTTTTAGCGGCAATTATCACTTTTTGTATATGTCCCTAAAGCCTTTAGCGGCATTAAATCTAATGACACTTAATTAATGCCGGTAAAAACTTTAGCACTCTCTATTGTCACTAAAAGCTATTTTGTTGTAGTGTGTCAGGTAAACAACTTGTCAAAACAGGGGG